AGATAAAAAAATTTTCATCAATTTTAAATAGGTAGGTATCAAGATATCTTTGCTCAAAGTTTAGAAATAACTATCAAAACAAAAAAAGCTGCAACAAATTTTTTTCAAACTTTGAGCGAAGATATCTCAACAACTACCTATCTAAAATTAATGACTTTTTTTTATTCTGATTCTATATGCCTATATAAAAATAATTTCATCAATTTTAGATTGATGGTTGTCGAGATATCTGCATTAAAAGTTTGAAAAAAAATTAATTACAATTAATTAATTTCGTCCAATCAGAATGCAACTATTCAAGTAGAACCAAATTCGACCATAACAGGAGCTAGATTCCCCAGAACCTTCATCCCCGAGATTCCAATCCAAACCAATTCACTAGCACAACATACAAACTTTACAAGATAGTGTCTACATAAAGTCCCATTACGTATATACACTAACAAAGATTTTTTTTTTTTTTTTTATACTAACATTTTAAATTCGATCACATATCGATTCGGTTTCCAAATATCGCATGCTCTACACCATCACAGCTAATCGTATAATCCAAGTAGATATGATCGTAGAATCTTCTTTTCCTAACTTGATCCAACAAATTCAATATCACCACTAGATTTCTATCATTAAGTTTTCGCACTTTAGATTTTGCACTACTATTCTATCTATGTTTGACATCACAATGATATCTGGACAACAATCCATAATTCGTCCCTTTTCTCATTTTTATTTCATCATTCACAACTTCAGACGTTGTTCTTTTGATATTTCCAATATTACCAGTACCTTCCCCATCATTCAATCCACTGTTATTCATATTTCTATTATTAACAATCTTCATTACCACTGCATCGCTATTTCCACAACTTCTATCTTCATTGACCACCTTAATTTCATCACTAGTTACCTCTTCACCACATTTAATTCTACAGGCTATTTCCTCAAAACGTCAAATTCTTTGGATCATTTTTTCACTCAGCACTGGCAAGTCATCAACTCTCTTTCTATTCGAATCTCTGCTTTCAGCAGAATCCAAAGGTCATTTGAACGTCTCATTTTTATCCTTTTCAACACTAATTCCATGTTGATAGCAATTCCCAACACTGTATATTCTGTTAGCATCAACTATCGCCGCTCTACTATCTGAGCTTGATTCTCTGAACTCTTTAGATTTGTCCTTCATTTTTGCTCTCTCTTTATCTTGACAATTCATATTTGCGTCTATTACCCTTTTTCTTCTTAATTTAGCATCTTTAGTACTCTCCCGTTTTCTGGCACCATTATTTTCTAATTTCACAAACCTCACAAATCTCATATCGTTCACTTCCGGGCTTTCTATTGAACTTGCATTTTCCAATTTTCGAACTGGACAATCATGAGCTAAGTGTCCTGGTTTTCTGCATTCATAACACAACTGTGGCCTATAGCTAACATTTTTTCTTCGCATAACCTTCAGGTTTCTTATAATCTCCACCGTGATTATCTCCACAATATTCCTAATCATTGTCGTCAAACTATCCTGGCCTTCTCTGCTTTCATACACCATTTTTTCAGATAAGTCTCCATTTCTTATATTGTTTCCTTATTATAATTTATTCAAAACACTAACTATGTTATCCGATTTAACTTCACCAGTAATTAACGCTTTTTTTTTTTCGATACTTATTGTTTCCAGATTTTGCACTATAAACTCAACCTTCGTTTCCTTTAATCCTTCTATACTATGTTCACTCACAATATCCACTCATTTAACAAAGGTATACACAAAGATCTTCACCTTTCAATAATCAAAGCACGCAGTTCAACAAGAGTATTGTTTTCTGCTCAGGTCCTTATATCATGGAGTAACTTGGGCTACCATGTGCTTGTTGACTTTACTAACAGTCTTTAACTCACTTGGCAATTAAATAATGACTGGTATATCATACCAGATATTACTACTGATAATATACTTACAAAGATAACAGTTTATTCACTAAAAATAATTCAAAGAACTCAAAGTTCTAGCAAGAACAAAAGTTAGACACTTCCCCTATTTGGATCGATTGCTTATATATTATTACTAATACATACTGATTACTATATTGTTCATGCAATCACTACTTTAGACTTTTAATTAATTTTATACATCACGCAAATTTCGATCATGCTACTTATGCAAACCTGATCTGATCACGATACTTGACTCTTGCGTTACAAATTCCCAGGCACCAAATTCGACCATGATAATAGGCTATTGTTAATATTAATAAAATAGAGAAATTTATTAATAACAGCAATGGCGTGATCAGTTGATTTACAATTTGTACTGTATTTATATGAAATAACATCTATAGGCATTATTTTGAAACACAAGTTTGAAATAAGCTAATGATTAATTTAGCTGAAATAAAAATTATAATTTGCATTTAACTAAAATTAACTATTAGCTTGCCTCAAACTTGTGATCCAAACAGCACCTATATACAAATATAGTATATTGTTCAAATCTGAAATAAGTGTAATCTGCTCAATCCACATGTAAGTAATGAATGTACTATTATTGTCAAATTATAGAGTATCAGTTTTTTCAATATCGGTACACATTGA